TTTACAATATGGTCACCCAACACTTAACAATAGCCTCGATCCAAATGGCTGGCTCACTGCTGCCAACTAGTGGTCAGAGACTGAACTACAACATAAAAATGAACGGCTGGCAGGAAAGTTGACATTTTAAACCTTAAGAAAAAATAGATACAGGGCTTTAGAATATTGATACAGTATCGGGAAATGAAATATCGCGATATTTCAGTGTATCGATATTTTCTTACACCCCTACTTCATAAACTAAAGATCCCCGCCAAAATCCTCTGGTCTTAGCAACACAAAACGGCTCTAACTCGGTCGATTTTACAGATATTGAGCTAAAAACTGGTGTGGTTGTAGCTGAGGGTCATCCTCAACACATATTCTGAGGGCTAACATGTCGTGTACAAGGTTTTCTGTAAAACTTTTGTTTGTGCATTTCTAACGACTTTGAACTATGATTTATTCAAAATGGCAGCTTCTGAGCAGTGAGTAAAACTTCACTTTTACTTTTAAAACACTGTTTCTATGCAGGAAATGTATGATATAATATATGGCTGTGAAATTAATCGAGTTAAATCTGATTAATTTTAGTGCTGGGCATAGATTAAAAATTTTAATCACTTCTCATTTACAAACATGACCTGGCATGCACTCAGTGCATGCCAGGTCATGTTTGTAAATGAGAAGTGGTTCTCAAACAGTTTATCTGGATAAATAAATAATATAAATTTTAAAAATCTCCATTGTAACACATTATGTAGTTTTTTTCTTTTTGTCTTCTAATTGGCTTATTTTATTTATTTATTTATGTTTTGCTGACAACTGTGACCTTAGTATCTATCTTTCATTCCTCATGTAGTACTTCATTTGGAATGAAAATCCTTCAATTCTTGATTTAACCTCATTATTCTGCACAAAATTTAACTGACTCAAATATATTTGAAGCATTTTTAGGTCCTGTTTTATATTTAAAAAATCATGTCCAAGCATCAATTTTGTTTTCTAAATAAAAACATTAAAATTAATTAATAACTCAAGTAATTTATTTTATCAATATGCAATAGAAATGTATTTTACATTTAATATTACTCAAATATGTTTGGAGCATTTTTTAGGTCCTGTTTTATATTCAAAAAATCATGTCCAAAAACATCAATTTTGTTT